CTTTATCCCCTTCCTAGAATCCTCCTTCCTCACAAGGATATATCTTTGCCTTCAGCCACAAGCTATTTTCTGAAATGTCTGCAATTTTTCCTCAACAGTCTTTGCCGTTAAATTCCTTTCCCAGTCCACTCAAGCCAGCTCTGCCTTCATTCCTTTGTAATTACCCTTATTTAAGCTTAGCACGGTTATTTCCAGCCAGTTTTCTCCCTCTCAAACTGAATGCTAAATTCTACCCTATCATGGTCACTGAGTTTTCTTGGATCTTTGAGATCATTTCTTATACCTGCCTTGTTACACATTACCAGATCATAAATAGCTTCATCCCTTGTTTGATCCATAACATATTGTTCTAGAAAAATATATCAAGCATAGTCTCTGAATTCTTCCTCATGCGTACCCCTGCCAATTTGATTTTCCCCAATCTAAGACTAAAGTTCCTCACATTTAGTGTATCACCTATCTACTGATCTGAGCAATCTTAAATCCATATTTCTGACTACACCTGATAACCTTTCATCCCCTTGCTTAACTAGAATCTATCTACCGCTGCTTTAAAAATATTCAAGAACTCTGCTTCCATCATCTTTTCAGGAAGAGTTTTGAAGGATCTCATCCCTTTGGGAGATCCAATATTGCCTCAGTCATTCCTAATACTTCGAAACTTCAACAGATACAACCTCTGCCTGTTCAACCTTTACCCATAACAGAATCTGTCCAATCTAGTATTAGTCCAGTAAACCATTTCTGAACTGTTTAAAGTGCATTTGCAACCTTCTTTAAATAGGGAGACCAATGTTATACATAGCACTCCAGATGTGCTCTCACCAGTGCCCTGAATAACTGAAGTATAACCTCCTTGCTTTTGTATTCAATTCCCCTTGCACTAAATGATAACATTCTATTGACTTGCTTCATTATTTTCTGTACCTGCATACTAACTGTTTGTGATTTGTGTAGAACACCTAGATCCTTCTGCATCTCTGAATTCTGAAACCTCTCATGAGGAGCATTCTTCTTCTTTATTGTTTCTGTCAAAATGGATAATTTCTCATGTTTCTGTATCATACTCTATTTGCCAAATCTTTCACTTAACCTGCTCTTATTCTTCTGTGGGGTCCTTACGTCCTTTTCACAATTGACCTTCCTAACTATTCTTGAGTCATTAGCAAATTTAGCAAACCCATCTTTGGTCCCTTCATTCAAGTCATTCATATAAGCCGTAAAAAGCTGACGTTCCACCAACAATCCCTGTGGCACAGCCCTCATTATATCTTGCTAACCTGAAAACATCCCATTTATACCAACTCTGCTTCCTGTTAGGCAGCCAATCTTCTGTCCATGCCAATATAAATATGTCCTACATCATGGGCCTTTATTTTCCACAATAACTTTTTCTGTGGCACTTTATCAAATGCCTTCTGTACAACATATCCACTGGTTGCGTTTTATTTACTGTATATGTTATTTCCTCAAGGAACCCCGATAGATTGGTTAATAATGAATTCCCGTTCACAAAACTATGTTGATTCTGCCTGATAACCTGAAGTTATTTAAGTGTCTCACCAGCAGTTTAATTTTAGTTTCTAACATTTTACCTTTGACAGATATTAAGAAAGTGCACTGCAGTTTGCCATTTTCTGTCTCCCTTATTTAATAAAATAATAATTTCCACCGTCTTCCAATTCCTATTTTACCTTCCTCAAATCAGGAGTGTTTTGGAAAATTAAAATCAATGATCCCATGAGCCACTTCTTTAAAACCCTAGAATGAAATTCATCAGTATTGGAGGACTTGTCATCCTGCAGCTCCAGCAGTCCCAACTCTCTGATGACTGTGATTTTCCCTAGTTGCTCTCTGCTTTTCATTTCCTGACCTATCACTGCAGTTCTGAGGAAGGGTAACCGGACCCGAAATGTTAACTCTGTTTTCTCCTTCACAGATGCTGCCAGACCTGCTGAGCTTTTCCAGCAACTTTGTTTTTGTTCCTTGTTTGTTATCACTGCATTTGGGTTGTTACTTGTCTCCACTCTATAAACACTGATGCAAAATATCTGTTCACTTCATCTGGTGTCTTGGTTTCTAACATTATTCTCTTCACCTGAAAAAGGAGCAGCACTCTGAAGGTTTGTGATTTCAAGTCAACCTGTTGGACTACAACCTGGTATCGCGTGATTCTGACTTGACACCCCATTCCAACACCAGCACCTCCACATCATTATTAATTCTCCACTCAGTTTCTATATGCGACAATGGCAGGTATATGGTGTTGGGCCACAGATCAGGCTCAAGAGTTCCCATTTAGGACTAATGCTCATTTTGTTAACACTGCTTCTTAAAAGATCTGTTTTTTTATATTTCTAGCTATGGAACGTATTCTGTAGTATCCCCATTAATGTTGGCCACTGCATCTCTAGACATTTTAATCAACTTGCTCAGACATATTATAAAACACACCTGGAGCAGGTAGGGCTTGAATCTAGGCCTCACAGCTCAGAAGTACAGACACTATCACTGCATCTCTATTGGCCTATTCTTAAATCTTGTGTCAATTCAGCTGTTTTCACGCCTTCTAATAACAATAAAGCTCTCTCTACACTACGCCTTCACTGTATCTCTTCTTTGTAAAGGTTAAACGTGCCTGGTTACAAAGAAACCTCCGGGAGTAAAACTTGGCGAACGGCTCTGCTGAAGGCCAGCACAAACCCCTGCTTCCTCCTGTGCTGCCCCCTCTGGATGGGAGGACCTCCTGCAGGTGCGGGTCCCGTGATGATGGATAACGGAGCTCTCCATCCTCCGCATACCATTGCCCAGCCTGTGCGCAATGCCAAGGTGGGCAAAGGGGGAGGGCAGACAGTGAAGAATCAGAGCGCTGAATGACCCTGGGAAATGATTGATCTCCACATTGACCAATCAGAGCCGGGAACCGCGGGGTGGTCTGCCTAGCGCTGGTAACGCAAGCCGGAAATGTTCCCCGTCACGGTTGTGATGGACAAGGCAGCGGACCAATAGGAAAGGGAGACTTGTGAGCGCGCCGTCCCGCGGGGGGCGCGCCCCCGCTCGGGGCGGGCGGGTTGAGCGGAGGTGAAGATGGCGTTTGAGCGCCGGAAAGCATTAATGGAAGAGATGGAGGTTGAAGGCATTGACGAACCGGGGCTTCGGCAGTGGAACAGTGGCGGGAGAATGGCCGGCCCTGCAAATGACGGCGGAACGGAGGATTAACGGCGCCCGGTGAGCAGTCGCGAGAAGTTTGGCGCCGTGTTGCATTATGGGAATCTGGAAGAGTCGTCCGCGAAATTTACCCCTTCTCCCCTCAATTGTACTACCACCTTTAATCACTTCCCCCTACCAATTTCCTCCCC